CTGCAGGTTTATTTTTAAAGGTATTTCTACCTAAGAGTCCTATTTAATATGTGTCTGAGACCACTTTAAATGCAAAGTACCTAGAAAGGCAAAATAGTAGATAACATAATGTCCACTACCAATGAGCATTATCAGAAAATCCTAGAAAGGTCACAGCTGGAGCCAGGACTGATCTCCTGCCTGCCAAAGAGCCTCGTCCTCAGAGCTTAGAACCACCACAGCACACAAGGTCCCAGAGGTGAGCCTGGGCAAACTCCCAAGAAAAGCAGAGAGAAAAAAAAGGTGGAGCTGTGGCTCAGAGCCAACTTCAAGGACTTTAGGAGACCTGGCCCATCCCCAAGGCTGTCCTTGCTATAGCTTAAAAAGTGTGGCTTCATCCTTGAGTAAAGAGTTCCTATCTTGAATCTGTACCCGAACAGCCCCTCAAGGATCTGGTCTCCCACTAGCCCAGCCCAGCACCAAATAGGCTTCAGCTTCACCTACTGTATGGGGACAGTGGTCAGCAGCCAGGTAGGCTCCCCTGCTACACATTTCTAAGCAGCTGCCATTTTGTGCCTGGGATGCCTGAGACAGCAGAGCTGTGCTCATCTTGGGTTGTGGGGGTAGGTCAGGCAAGGCTCAGCTTAGCACGACCACAGCAGCATCAACATAAAATAAACCTGCTTTATAGAGAACAAGGAAGTTGTTTATTTTGAGCCAAATCACCATCACACAGGAACACAGATTTTTTTTTTTTTTTTTTTTTTTTTTTTTTTTTTTTTTTTTTTTTTTTTTTTTTTTTTGGTTTTTCGAGACAGGGTTTCTCTGTGTAGCTTTGCGCCTTTCCTGGAACTCGCTTTGGAGACCAGGCTGGCCTCGAACTCACAGAGATCCACCTGGCTCTGCCTCCCGAGTGCTGGGATTAAAGGCGTGCGCCACCACCGCCCGGCTGGAACACAGATTTTAAAGTTATCCTTTATCCTGATGGACATGGTCCCTCTGCGGAAGTTACATAAGTAACTTTACAGTCACAGAAATAGAGTGAGCCAAATATGGTTTTATCAGATAGGTATATATAGAATATGTAGGTATATATAGAAGGTATATATATATGTATGTATGTATACATAGAAGAATCTCTTCTATAGGGTTTAGAAGCTAGGGGTCTGCTTGGTTCATCATAAAACCCAAGAGGTTTTGTGTGGTTGTTTATTTGAGGCAGGATCTCCTTGGCTGGTCTCAAGCCAACTCTGTAATTGAGGCTGGCCATCAATTCTTGATCCTCTAACTTCTATCTCCTGAGTCCTGGGCTTGTAGTCTATCTAGTAAGGAAAATATTGGATGCAGAGGTCAATACTAATAAAGGGCCTGGAGATAGTCTATGATAACTTTGACTCTAAAGAGCCTGCAAGATTTCTCCCGTCAGCCGGGCAGTGGTGGCGCACACCTTTAATCCCAGCACTCGGGAGGCAGAGCCAGGCGGATCTCTGTGAGTTCGAGGCCAGCCTGGGCTACCAAGTGAGTTCCAGGACAGGCGCAAAGCTACACAGAGAAACCCTGTCTCGAAAAAAAAAAAAAAAAAAAAAAGATTTCTCCCGTCAGTTATGGTCGAAGGGTCTGTAGGCTCTTAAATACCCACATGGCTTCTTCTGAGGACCTCAATTGCTGTAGCTATGAGAACTTGGGCAATTCCCTTCACATCTCTGTGCCTGTGTTCTGCCTGAGAGATGGGGGACAGAGAGGTGACTGCCTCCCAGGGTGGGTGGGAAGGTAAATGGGTGTTGCAGAAAGCATTCAGAGCAGAGTCGGCATCCCAGGGATGTTGAAATATTAGTTATTGCTTGACTTGGGTAGCACAAGGCCTCCAGTGTGAGAGGCCTGGGCCTCAACTTCTCATCTGTGAGATGGGAACAGCGACAATTACTTCCTTGGATTTCTGGGACTCGTTCTGGGAGAGACAATGCAATTGATAAAGTGCTGGCCATGGAAATCTGAGGACCTGGTTCAGATCCCCAGCACCCACGTAAATTCAGGAGTTAAGGGACAGCATTCACCTGTAATTCCAACACGAGGGAAGCCAAGACAGGAGGATCCTGGGGCCCGTGGGACAGCTAGTCCATCCTGTTTCAAAAGGGGAGGTGGAAAGCCACTGGAAGAGACACCCAACATGACCTTCATGGGTGCACTGTTGCCTTTGTGTGCTCACCTTACACACGAATAAATAAACGTGAGGAAAGGTTAAAATTCATTGCACTGCAGATTAAAAAACGAGAGGACAGAGCAGTCAAACAACTAGTGAATGGCGGGGCTGGGAACCCCAAACAATCTGGACTGTTCTGGATAATATTCTCAGACTTTACTTTTTCATCACAAGATCCTGTCACTGAAAGAAAGGGTATCCAGCAGCCCAATTTAAAAAAAAAAAAAGATGAAGAAACATACAACTTTTGTTAGCGAAGGAAAAAAGTCAAGATTCCCCACAAGATAAGATCCCCATGCCCTGGAGGGGCTCCAAAGAACAGTAGGAGTAGGGGGAATGCCCTGGCCGCTGCCTCTTCTGCAAATTGAAAAAAAAAAAAGGCAAACCATGAGTGCTAACAGCCCAGTGAGGGGTCACCCTTCCGCATACCCTGCACCAGGAGACACATTCACATGCAAATCTCACAGCTTTTCCAAAAGATAATAAGGATGGAGGGTGGATGCTTTATTTCGTCCAAAAATTTTTTTTATTGCATTTTATTTATTTAACTGTGTTTGGGGGAGGTACATGAGTACCACACATACATATGGAAGTGAGTTTGTGGGAATCAGCTGTCTCCATCCACCCTGTGGTTCCCAGGGATTGAACTCAGGCCATCAGGCTTGGCAGCAAGGTTGTTTGTTGTTGTTGTTGTTTTTTCCTGGAACATCAATGTGTATTTCCCTCTCTCTGAGCAGTAATACAGGAAGCTGGTATCTGATGATCCCACTGAAATAAGCACAGTAGTCCTCTATTTCTGCCTGGAAACCCTCTCCCGCAGATGCCTGTGTCCTAAAGAGGGCAGCATCTTGTGGTAAAGGGAGGGAGGAAGGAGAGAAACTGCATGGAGTCTCCTGAAGAGGAGCAGATGGTGGTATTTGCTTAGCAGTTTTACTTCCCCGTAGAACAGGGCAACTGGAGGGTCCCAAGAAGCAGCTGGCAGGGTCCCGGTGAGTCTTGGAGGGAGCCCTCTGGGTCTCCCAGCCAGACCACAGGAGCAAGCTGAGAACTGTCCAGGAAGAGAGAGGTGTTGTGATGAAGTTGTGGTGTTTGGCAGTCACCCTACCCAGTGACTGGAGTGGATGAAGCCCGTGGAGGGGAGTGTAGGTAACCTACCGGTCTCTGTACACTATGTGGGTGAGCAGTAGAGATAACTACACACCTAGGGGAAGCTGTGTGCTGCTTCCTGCAGGGGATGCTGGGAAGTAAAGAGATGAGTAAGAAATGATCTCTGGTTTTTTTGTTTATTTTGCTTTTTTAGGGGATGGGGGGGTATAGATTGGATGTTCTACTTAAGAAGCCATGGGGTTGCCTAGAAATATGCATGGAAGGCTGGGAATGTGGCTCAGTTGGTAGAGCCCTCGCCTGACATGCATGAATCCCTGAGCTCAGTACCAGCACCACCTAAACTAGGTGTGGCCGTGCACACCTGTGATCCTATCACTAGGGATGTGCAGGTAGAAGGATCAGGTGTTTAACGTCATCCTCAGCTACACAGTGAATTTAAAGCCAACCTGAGTTATATGAGATCCTGTCTCAAAGGGAAAAAAGAAAGATAGACAGATGGGTACGTGGTAAAATGAAAAAAGCGTTAAACTAATGGAGGCCATAGACAGACATCAAACATCTTCCTTCAATTGCTCTCCCCCTTGTTTTTTGAGGCAGGATCTCTCCCTGAACCTATGACTGGTAATTTAGCTACATGGACTGGTCCACAAGCCTCGTATTTCTACCCCACCAGCACTGGGATTACAGATGCATGCCACAGGGCCAGCTTTTTCATGTGGGTGCTGGGAACCAAACTCAGGTCCTCATGCGTATCTAGCAAGCAGTTTACAGCTGAGTCACACATTTTAATTGACACTATATGAAAGTCAAGAGATTTTACATAGAGACCTGAAACTGGCAAGCCTCATTTGGGCAGAATCCTCATTTTCCCAGTCTCCACCATTTCCTAATGCGTTCTACCCAGCTAGAGTCTCTTACATGTGTGGTGTCTCTTCTCTGGAAGGATCTTTGGGATTTCAATGGAAGATAAGAAACACATTTGGGTTTTAATGAAGAAACATGGACATTCTCTCCGGAGGCAACTCATCCTTTTAAAAAATGGGTTTTTAGGCCAGGCAGTGGTGGCGCACGCCTTTAATCCCAGCACTCAGGAAGCAGAGACAGGCGGATCTCTGCATCTGAGGCCAGCCGGGACTACAGAGCAAGTTCCAGGACAGCCAGGATTCCACAGAGAAACCCTGTCTCAAAAAATAGAAAGCAAAAACAAAAAGATTTTTATATATTCTTTTAAAATTTCACCCATGTATACAATGTATCTTGATCATACCAACCCCTAATTTCCCCTTCCACCCTCTCCCAGAACCCCCCTCACCTCTTCCTCGTAAGGTCATGTCCTTCGTTTGTAACTGTCAATTTTAACTCAGAGTCCTATTAGTGTTGCCCATATGTACACAGCTTTGGGGCCATCCACAGGGGCGTGGCGAACTTACCAGTCACCACACCTCAAAGAAAAGTGACTCGCCACCATTAACCACCATTAATCCCTCAGGCAGAGGTGGGACCCCATAAGCCCCTCCCACCCATGCTAAAATTACACCTGGCTTGTGTAGGTAACCACAGCTGGGGTAGGTTTGCAGCAGGGTGGCCACGGCATGGCCAGATGACAGCATTTCAGAGCACCCGTTCTCCACCATCTGGGCTCTTACATTCTTTCTGTCCCCTTTCCCATGATATTCCCCAGGCCCGGGAGAAGAGTTGATAAAGATACACTCACAGCCATGTATTGTTAGTGCTTTCAAGGGTAATACATCTCTGCATTAAGCACTATCCACTGCAGTAAGAAGTGTCTCTGACCAAAGCTATAACCATAAACATCTCACCTCTTTTTCTTCCTTTCCGCAGGTCCTTGCTATGGTTGCCTGTTTTCTTCATGCACCCTCCTTGTTCCGATTTTCCAGAGGCACGCCATGGCCAATCTCTCGGCCGTGTCTGTGTTCATTCTCCAGGGCTTCGCCACTGTCCCTGCATTACAGCTGCTGAGCACGGCCGCCTTCCTTCTCATATACCTGGCTGCGGTCCTGGGGAATGTCTCTATCGTGATAGCTGTGACTCTCAACCCCCGCCTGCACACACCCATGTACTTCTTCGTCAAACACCTCTCCCTGGTGGACCTCTGCTCTACATCCACCACTCTGCCCAGGGCCCTGGTGGCTACCATGGCAGACACCAAAGAGATTTCCCTCCCGGCCTGTGCATCCCAACTCTTTGCTTTTGTCTGCTTTGGCTCTCTAGAATGTTTTCTCATCACCTCCATGGCTTTTGACCGTTGTCTAGCCATTTATCGGCCCCTGACATATGGGGCAACCATGAATTCTCAGACCTGTGTGTCCCTGGTAGTGGTGGCCTGGGTCAGTGGGCTCCTCTTTTCTACCTTCCACACTGTCAACACCTTTTCCTTACCCTTCTGTGGCCCCAACATGATCGACCACTTCTTCTGTGATATTCCCCCACTCATGCATCTAGCCTGTGGTGACACCGAGGGCCACGAGGCTGCGGGCTTTGCAGTAAGTGGCTGCATTATCATGACCTGCTTTGTCCTCACCTGCCTGTCTTATGTTCTCATTGTATACACAGTGGTTCAAATTCGTTCTTCAGCTGGCCGCTGGAAGGCCTTCTCCACGTGTTCCTCCCATCTGGCCACAGTGCTCCTGTTTTATGGCACCGGAAGTTCCACCTACATGCAGCCCACAGCCCACTACTCCCCTCTGCAAGGGCGCATGGCGGCGGTATTCTACTCGATCCTCACGCCCACTCTGAATCCACTTATCTACAGCCTGAGGAACAAGGACATGAAAGCTGCTCTGCGGAAGCTTTATCCACAGGTGCCATCTTGGAACCTGGCATTTAGACACGAGAAGGCCCAGAAATCCACCTGCATCGAATTTCCCCTCTAGCCATGCTGGAGACTATCAGAAAGGCCGACGCTACTCTTTAAAATAGTTATTGGCCATTTGTGTTACTTTTGTGGGTGTGTGTGGGTGAGGGAAACTGTATTTATTAGCCCATGTGTTCATTGGCTGTTTTATTTCCTTGGCTGTCCACTTTCCAGTGTTGTATTTCCTCCAAACTAAAATATGTAGTCTGGATGAAGAATGGGGAAGACTGGAGAGGCTCATGAGACTCACAAGAAACTGAGAAGACTCACCAAGCCCCTCCCAGAGGGTAAACAAATGGTAAACTTGAGGTAGCTGCCAGCATTCTGTGCAGGAGCCTCCAGGAGCACAGCTTTCCTGAGACACTACCCATGCTGAGGTGAAGCATTTACAGTCCCCCACTAATACCACAACCACACTGCTGTGACTCACTCTAATAAACTCACTGGTCGCCAAGCCAGACTTGGATGAAAATCACTGCTTTGGCTTGTCACTGCTCTGACCTGAGTGAGCAGGCATTTCTGTGCCTCTTCCTAGGAAAAGGATGTACTAGATATTTATAACTATTCAAAAATCACTAGCTCACTGATTTTGTAAAATGGGTTTGGCTGGCTTGAATCATGCAGTGGGGCCTACTGAGGGAGGCTCCCACGAAGCATTTAAATATCTGGATTCCCTGGCAATGCCAAAGTACCCTGTTTCTGAGTTGTTTGGGATTTTAAAAGTGAGGAATGTAAAGAAGCGTTTACTCCATAAGACCCACATGCTAGGGCTGGAGGAATGGTTCAGCAATGAAGATCATTTGCTGCTCTTCCAAAGGACCAGAGTTTGAGTTCCAGAACCTCAATGATGCCGCTCACAACAGCCATAACTCTAGTTCTAGGGGATCTGATGCCCTCTTCTGGCCTCTACAGGTACTGCACTCAAGTACAGGAACACACACACATTCAGTTCACACAGAAACACATGTGTATGCAAAAATCTTTTTAAAAAAATACATACCTACAAACACAGAGAAATAACTAAGAAAAATGAGTGATCATATAAGATAAAAAATATACAACTACTAACTGATACAAAAGCTGGACTATATAAAAGGCTAAGGTCATACTCCTAGTGCTAAGATTAAATGTAACAATGTTAATATTCAACCAGACAAGATGGCTCACTGGTTAAAAATGTTGGCTGCCAACTCTGACAACTCAAGTTCAAAATCCAGGACTCACATGGAGGAAGGAGAGAACTGAGCCCTGAACATGTTCTTCTGACCTTCATATGTGTGCCTTCACACACATAAACAACACAGAGAGACACTATACATATATGTGCAGATACATTTATGCACACACATAATGTAATAAATTTTTTTAAATGTTAACTTTTTATTGTCTCATTTATAAACTCATTGCAGCAAACCAAAAGGCTTTACAATTAGATTTTAATGTGGATTAACAATCATAGTCATCATATCTTCTTAAAAGCAGAAAAATCACATATACATTTACAGCACAATGATTGAAGACTCAAATATACAAAAATTACAAAGAATGCCGATGTAAGACAAATTAAGGAAAAAACAAATAAACAAAGAGCCCATTGGCCAGAGCTGGGTCCTGCACTATGCAATATGACCTTATCCGTCATTTGCTAAATCCTGATTCAGTGAGGGCTCCTTAAGGAAGACAGACCTTTTCACACACACATCAACCAGGTCAACTCAAGAGTGGCTAGTATGTAATTAAATAAACAAAACCTCTACAATAAAGCACTCTAATGCTTACAGCGGGTAAGATTCTGTAGGCTTGGGAAAGAAAATCAAATGACTGGTTTATATAATGAATTGCTGGAAAAAAATATATTCAAAGAAAAGTCTCAAACAAACTGAGGAAACATGTGGGGACAAAATAAGCCTACAAAGAGAGCAGTTGAGAAAAGGAAGATATTAAAAAGAAATGACTGAAAAGCAGTGAAGAGAAAACCATGTGCAATGAGCTTCCAAGAACATGTTTATCGTCCTTCGCAATCCAATTACTACAATTAGATTCCACATTAAGTCACAGAATGCCAAACACCAGGTGTGAAGACATGTCCCTACATGCCACCAGCCATGGGTCAGAACAACCCATGTTCTCAAAAGCAGCCTGGACATATCAACAACCTTATAACAGTTACATACCTTCAGATGCCAGCAATTTCCTTTTGCCAAAATTTCCCTTAAGAAAGCAATCCTAAATTGGAGGAGGATCTAAACACCAAAATGGTCATTGCAGGATCACTTAGAATTATAAAAACCCCACATCAAATATCTAAACAAGAGCAGAGTAGCCTCACATGTAAGGTTCTGGGTCTGACATGCACCTGTTAAAGAGGCACTAGAGAAGGACACAGAGTTATGACAGAAGTTCTGCAATGTGTAAAACTGAGTGGAAAATAATAAATGCTACTGCATATGTGATAGCTAAGGAAATTCCATTCTGTACCTGGCACCCACTTTAGTAGGCATTGGCTTCTGACGTAAATTCCTGAAAACTCTGGCCTCTTGCCTCTCTCCTCAAAACTGTGTTAACTGTGGTGAAATGATTAACTAGTTGCTCTGGCTTCTGGAAACATGCTTATCACTGTGGGTGGGGGAGTGGGGGCAGTTCCTCACACAGCTGGGGGGAGAGGGGCAGTTCCTCATATAGCTGGGGCAAGAGGGGCAGTTCCTCATATAGATAGGGGGAGAGGGGCAGTTCCTCATATAGATGGGGGGAGAAGGGCAGTTCCTCACACAGCTGGGGGGAGAGAGGCAGTTCCTCACATAGCTGGGGGAGAGGGGCAGTTCCTCATATAGATGGGGGGAGAGGGGCAGTTCCTTATGTAGCTAAGGGAGTGGGGCAGTTCTTCACATAACTAAATTCTGCAGAAGTGGAGTAATGTGTTTGTCTTTAAAGACCTTTCCCTCATCTGCTTGGGAGCATAATGTTTCTGATTTGGCTTAGAGATCAGTGCCCTGCAGGCAGAATGAATAAAATGGGGTAATTATAATCTGTATTGAGTCTGTGGTCTTTCTCTGGCCCTTCTGAACTCCATGATTACTCTTGGAGGACCCAGTGAGAACCTGGGGGACTCCAGACTCAAGGCCAGGGGTTCAGGAAATAGTGTAACTGGAGCGAGTTGGAGGTGAACTTGGAGGACTGGGGGCACCTGAGACCACAAAGCAAAAAGTCACTAAGTCAGGGATAGGCCCTAGACAAAGGCATGTATCACAATTCATAGGCCCTGGGGTGGGGCAACTCTGGATGGGGGCAAGGACTTTTGTGGACCTGGAAGGCCCCATGGGGGAGCCCCAGACTGTGTCCACCACAAATTTGCAAATTGAAACAAAAGTAAATTGCTGGCTGACACGTATGTTAAGACAAGACTGACCTGAGCTAGAGAAAGAAACAATTTATCCCTAAACCTAGAACCAAGTAAACATGCCCTGACTCTGAAACCAGTACCAAAGAAACACTCTTGGTCCCTAGACTCAGAGCCAACGAAACAAAAAAAAAAGCCAAGAAAGTCTAGTGAACAAAAAACAGTTTGGCTCTGAAATCAGGTCCAGCTCTGCCCCTAGCCCACAAAACTGACCAGCTCCAGAGCAGAAAAAACTAACCAATTGCTAGCTGACTCCGTACCCAAGATATCCTATATAAACTGCCATGTCTGGTCAGTTGTGGGCTGTTCTCTCCATGTGGAAGAGGCAGCCACTCTCCTGGACTTCTCTTTCCCAAATAAATCTCTTTCTCAAGAGTTTTGGGTGTGAAGATCTTCATTCACCAGCACAGAGATGAAGATTGCTAAAATGTCCCACAGTGGACTGAGCAAGGTGGAGCTGAACAGAAGAAACTTGCTGAGACATCCCATAGTGAAGTGAGCAAGGGGAGCTGAAAAAGTAACACTTTTCTCCAAAACTGGAGAAGACTGCTACATTTCTGAAGGAGTTTCCCCTATTGCAGAGTGAAGCAAAAGAAGCAACATCTTAGGCTGGAGAAGAAGCAGAGCTCTGCCAGGAAGTCCCCTTAAGTGGGGGCTGAGCAAAGCTCAGCTGTAGTGGCTCTCTGGGACAGGAGCAGGATTTCTTTTCTTTTCTTTTTTTTTTTTTTTAAAGATTTATTTATTTATTATGAATACAGTGTTCTGCCTACATGCATGCTTGCAGGCCAGAAGAGGGCACCAGATCTCATTACGGATGGTTGTGAGCCACCATGTGGTTGCTGGGAATTGAACTCAGGACCTCTGTAAGAACAACCAGTGCTCTTAACCGCTGAGCCATCTCTCCAGCCCCAGGAGCAGGATTTCTATATCCTGTGGGGAGACTATCCCCCACCACACCAGGTATAGCCTGACTCCCAATAAGTCAGGATACCCTTCCCTGCTGAGCTGTCCTAGAAACTCCAGGCCTGACTCTCTCAAGCAGTCAGAATATCTTCCCTTCCAGGGGTGAGCTGTCTCACTGCAGCTCCAGCCATCGAAGCTGTCTTAGCAGCTCAAGGTATCTGAGATACCTCCAGGGCTGAGCTGTCCTAGCAGCTCGAGGTATCCGGGAAATCTCACCCTCCAGGTCTGGGCTGTCTTATTGTAGCTCCAGCCATCAGAGCTGTCCTAGAAACTCAAGGTATCTGGGATACCTCAAGGGCTGAGCTGTGTCATTGCAGCTCCAGCTCTCAGACCTGTCCTAGCAGCTCAAGGTGTCACCTGACTCCTCAAATGGTCACGATACCTTTCCCCTAGAGTGGCAACACAGTTACTTACATTTTGGTGCTGTAACCTGGGACCAAACCCACAGAGCTGCAAAACTTACAGGTTCAATCACTGCAAGTTACCCTAGGTGCTCAGTTGCAACCTGTGGAAGAAACTCTCAGTAAAGATGACAAAGGACCTAATAGGCAGAAGACCATACAAGTCATAACATCTCCAGATGGCTCTTATACTATAGCTTATTTTGTCATCATCTGTGAGAAGCCAGTAGATGATAGACTTCCTAAGCCATATTTGGAATTTATGTTGCAACCCACTCCTATGAGAGATTTAAAAACCATAAAGGAAGTGGTAGTCACATATAGCATTTACTCAACATATGTAAGACAGATGTTAAGTATGTGGCCTTCCACAAATAGAATCATACCAGATGAATGGAATCGATTAATCTCAGCTGTTCTAGAAAATAGCCAGCAGTTACAATGGAAAAGCTAGTTGAGAGAGGAAGCTGGAAGCAGGGTAAGATCAGAGGTTTTGAGATCTCCCAAGATCAAATTCTTGGTGAGGGATGTTTTGCTGATAAAAATGTACAAGCTACTTTTGATGACCATACAAGATCCCTATACTGTACAGCAGCTCTAAGTGCTTGGGAAGAATTCTAGAACCAAAAACCCAACTGAGCTATACACAAAAAATTTCTAAGGCCCACAAGAGATTTTTACTGATTTTTTATGAATGATGACCACAGCTATAAAAAAGGTATTGTCAGACAAAGAACTAAGACAAGTATTAACTGAGTAATTGGCATTTAGCAATACTAATGCAGAATGCAAAAGAATACTTACACCATTAAAGGTCAGGTGGGCACCTTTGGAAGAATGGATTCAATATATTGACTGTGCTGAGTCTCTTAACTATGGTAAAGAGGAGAGGTAATGATAGAAGAGGCAATTTCCAGAGGTGGAAGGAGGTCTTGAGGTACCAAATGTTTTAATTGTGGTATGCCAGGTCATATAAGTAAAAACTGTACACGGGGTGATCCTAGAAGCAATACTCCTAGAAATAACCCAAATGGGAATATGTAAAAGATGTGGCACAGGCTGACATTGGACCAATGAGGGCCGATGAACAAAAGATATACAAAGTCACACTTTACCAGTTGGAAATGCCTCAGGGAGCCTTCTTGCAGGCTCTCTAAACATGGTCTAAACTTTTCCACCACTGTGAAGGAAATTCCTCTCCAGGACAATTAAACAAGCCAGTGTCTAATGTAAAGAACAATACTACACTGGATGACAGAACAGCTCTGACAGATGAATCAACAATTCCAAACACAATAAAATGAATATTTTGGCAGATTTCCATAAATGGACAAAGACCAAGGCTTAGCCCTTGAATTAATGACATTGTTCTAGAGGGTCTGGCAGACACAGGTGTGGATGTGACTATAATTACACTGAAATCATGGCATCCGATTGACTTCTTCAAGAGGTAGTGTAGGGAAAAGGAGCTGGCTAATGAAACCCATTCTGACCCTGGAGTCCAGAAATAGGAAAAGATGGCTCAGATCAGGGCAGAAAGAAACAGTTTGGCTCTGAAATCAGGGATATCTCTTCCCCTAGCCCACAAAACTGACCAATCCCTGGGCAGGGGAAAAAAAAAAACTAACCAATCACTGTTTGGCTATCCCCAAGACATCCTACATGAACTTCACTGCTTGATCAGTTGTGGACTGCTCTCTTCACTATAGTAGAGGCAGCTACTCTCCTTGACCCTTCCTTCCCAAAAGAGTTTCGGGTATGACGATCTTCACTCACTGAAAAACAGAAGATCCTTGCTGTGATGTCCCATAGTGGACAGTGCAAAGAGAAACTTTACAGAAGATCCTTGCTGAGACATCCCATAGCAGACATTGCAAGGAGAAGCTGAACAGAAGATCCTTGCTGGGACATCCCTCAGTGGACAGAACAAGGGAGAGCTGAAAAAGTAACACTTTGCTCTGGAGCCGAGAAGATGGCTACATTTCTACAGGGGTTTCTCCTTTTGCAGAGTGAAGCAAAGGAAGCAACATCCTAGGCCAGAGAAGCAGAGCTCTGATAGGAAGCCCCCTTAAGTAGGGGCTGAGCAAAGCTCAGCTGTAGCAGCTCTCCAGGAGAGGGGCAGAATTACAATATTCTGTGGGGAGACCATCCCCCATCACACCAGGTATAATGTGACTCTCCTGAACAGTCAGGATACAGTTCCCTGAAGAGCTGTCCTGGCAGCTCCAGGCCTGACTTTCCCAAACAGGATACCCTTCCCTGCTGAAGCAGTTCCAGGCCTGACTCTCCCAAGCAGTCAGAAAAACTTTCACTCCAGGGCAGAGCTGTCCTAAGTGGCTTGTGACATCCAGGATACTTTGCTCGCCAGCTGTCAGAGCTGTCCTAAGTGGCTGGCAGTATCATGGATACCTCACCCTCTAGCCATCTGAGCTGTCCTAAGCAGCTTGCAGTATCCAGGATATCTTGCCCTCCAGCTGTCAGCTGTTCTAAGTGGAAACCTCACCCTCCAGGGCTGCTGTCTCATTGCAGCTCCAGCCACCACCTGATTCCCAAGTGTCAGAATACCTCTTACCAGAGCTGCAAAACTCACATATTGGTGCTGAAATCTGGGACCAAACCCACATAATTGTAACAAATTTACTTATGTTGTTGGTGCCGAAACCTGGGATAGACTCACTTGGTGCCTGTGCTCTCCCCTTGTGGTCTGAGCCATACTACAACTCTATCTGTTATCTCCAGTCCATCTGCAACAGACCAGACTTCTAGCTCACTGATTGCTCTGCATTTGATCCAACAATGGCAATTAGGTGAGTTCACCTTTTGGTTGATATAAATGTTTCCCTGGGTCTGAGGAAGTGACCAATGAGTGTCTGGCACCCCTCTGGTACTCTTGGAAGTGGAGGCACCCCCAGCTATGGTCTTAAGGCTACAGCTAGCCCTCTTCATCTGGCCACAACCCCCCATCCTCAGAGCTGCAATCAGGCAGTTTTAAGCATACCTTCCTGTGCTCTCCTATCTTCCCACAAAAGGAGCCACAAAAGTCTCCCTTTTCCAGCCCTTTCCTCTGGATGAGTGTAGAGAGCTGCGTGCAACCGCACCTCAAAGATGGCGCTGGCTTCCTCCTTCCACCCTCCCGACGGTGAGTGCTCTCTGTGATAAACAACTCCTTATTTGGCTAAGGCTAGGATCTGGCTTGCTTCCGTGTACCTGGACCTATCCGCAGTACCCATGTGGCAGACTGGGGTAGGCTACCCAGAGGCTATTTAGGTTGTGGGTTGGCTCTCCCCAGGGTCAGAAGATTGTCTCAAGGTTCCTGAATAAACTGCTTGGAGAAGAGCCTGGTGTTGCGTCTTCCTTGCTGGTCGAGGCAGACGCGACAAGTGGTAGCCCGTACGGGGAACCTTTACCTCCCCTGTCTCTTGAAGGCTCAGAACTCTTTGCAGTCAGGGCAGTGCACTGGTAAGTCCCCAGGTGAGGTGGGGATCCGTGACGAAAGCAGGGATATTGTTCTTCTCTGTAGACAGAGAGAGCGAAGAAAGTTTGCGGTGCAGTGAACCGAAAGTAAATAGGTCGCGGATGAGCGAACCAAAAGGTAGATAAATCTTAGAACTAATTATGGGCCCTCTTCTTCGCACCCAATTTTTTCGGCTCTTAATGAGCTGCTCAGATCAAAGAACTTAAAGGTTAAGAAAAGTACTTTAGAGAGATTCCTAGAGGAGTGTGACGTTGTATCTCCCTGGTTTGCAGTTTTGGGCAGCCTCACCATCCCATCCTGAGAGAAACTTGGCAGGGACTTAGACTTCGCCTTCGAGCAAGGAACACTCAAAGCTGGTGTCAGGCCTGTATGGAAGCTGGTTCGCGGGTACCTAGAGGACCAGCAATGCAATGAAGCCATAGAAAATGGACATACAGCTTTAGAGAGTTTGCAGGAAGAGAGATCGGAAAAGGCAAATAGTGAAAGAGCAAGTAGGGAAGGGAAAAGTAAGGGACGGAAGGGCGCCCCAATTCCATTGTACCCAGACCTCTCCGAGCTTGAAGGACTGGAGATGTCCGATTCGGACGAGGAGATGACTTCTGTAATAGAAATGATGGATGTCAGAGTCCAAACATGGACCATGGAAAAGTACTAGCTAGGCCAGAGAACAAGCCCCTACCCTAAACCAGATGCCCCCAAAGATAAAGAACAGGTCAGGCAGGTCAGGTAGCATAGCAACAGAACAATGGGCCCTGACCAGTGACCTTACCACCTAGCAGCCTCACGACTTGCACGACTTGCATGTAGCCCTTCACCTGCACCTCCCCCTTCACCTGCAAGTACGGCACGTCGTGCACCCCTTCCTTCCTTCCTGCCCCCTCTCATGCTATATAAGCCTTGCTGAGGAGAATAAACTTTGCAGCTTGATCAGAACACACTGTCTTGCTGTCTTCTCTCATGTCTCCCATCCCTCTCATTCTCTCCCACAGGTGGGTCGCCCCCGTTGACACCCCGCTGGCCAGGGCAGATGGAGAATGTGGACTTAAGCAGAAAAGAGAAAACGAAGGAGAAAAAGCGCCCCGATAAGGTTGAGAGAGAAGAGTGCTGTATGCATGGGAATTGTCAAGCCCAGCCATCGGCCCCTCCTCCGTACACGGATGGAGGAAGTGGAGGGTCTGGTCATACTTTTAGTCCGGGAGTTTGGAGAACAGTGAGAACAGAGCTTTTATTGGCTTATCCAGTGTTCCAAGACTCACAGGGGAATCAATATAAGGAACCTCTTGACTTTAAGGTCATCAAGTCTTTAGCAGAATCTGTTAGGACCTACGGCACCACCGCTTCTTTTACCTTGGCCCAAGTTGAAGCATTGAGCAGGCACTGCATGACCCCTAGCAACTGGGGTGGGTTGGCTCGGGCTTGCCTAAGTCCCAGGCAATATCTCGATTGGAAGGCATTTTTGATTGAGTTTGCCAATGAAGAGGCTGCGGCTAAACAAGCCAGAGGGCAGCCGGCTTGGGGCTTGGATATGCTCCTGGGCCAGGGGAGATTCGCCAATCAGCAGACTGGTTACCCAGTACAGGTTTATGAACAGATTAATAAGATCGGTATTAAAGCCTGGAAGTCACTCCCAAACAAAGGTGAAGTCAGTGGCAATCTTACTAAGATCTTACAGGGCCCTACAGAGCCTTTTTCAGATTTTGTAGCTCACATGGTTGAGGCTGCAGGCAGAATTTGTGGGGATCCTGACACAGCCATGCCCCTGATTAAGCAACTTATTTATGAGCAATGTACAAAAGAATGTAAGGCTGTCATAACCCCGTATAAGAACAGGGGGCTAGAGATATAGTACCCTACACTAGTCATCAGATCCAGGTTTTAACTGCCACCATAGATGATTGGGCTATTCTTCGCTGCTCTTTTAGTGGTCCTATAGATAATCATTATCCCAAACATCCCCTAATGACCTTTTATAAAGAACATCCTGTGCTGTTTCCAAAAGTTACCGCACCCAAGCCCGTACCTGGAGTTCCTAATATATTTACTGACGGGTCAAAAACGGGGTGTGGAGTTTATATGATAGCTGGCCAAGAGCCTGTACAACATCAATTTCAGCCTGAGGCTCCTCAAATTACCGAACTAAAGATTGTGATTGAGGTCTTTCGAGCCTGCCCTTTTCCTTTTAATTTAATATCTGATTCTGCTTATGTTGTTAATGCTCTTAAGGTATTAGAAGCAGCTGGACCTATTCAAAGTTCTAGCCCTGTTTGCTCTTTATTTCAACAATTACAGCAGTTGATTTGGCAAAGAACACTTCACTTCCATATTAGAGCCCATACTGGCCTGTCAGGGCCCCTTTGTAAAGGCAATGATATTGTGGATCAGTGGACTCGCAAAGAATGGGTATTCTTAAGCTCTGCTTTGGACAGAGCTAGGGACTTTCATCACATTTTCATGTTAATGCCAAGACCCTACAACAAAAATTCAATCTCTTTCGAGCTGATGTTCGACAAGTAGTTCTAGACTGCCCTCATTGCGTAATTCATCAGCATCCACCCAGTGTTGGTGTGAATCCCCGAGGATTACTTCCCCTTAGAGTATGGCAGATGGATGTGACACATATCTCTGATTTTGGACAGACCAAATATGTCCATGTTTCTGTGGACACCTGTTCAGGTGTCATGCATGCCACGCCACTGGCAGGAGAAAAGGCACATAATGTCATTGTGCATTGCCTGGAAGCCTGGGCAGCATGGGGTAAGCCTCGACAACTCAAAACTGATAATGGGCTGGCCTATACGGGACAAAAGTTTGCCTCTTTCTGCGCTCAGATGGAGGTCCAGTTTGTTCATGGCCTGCCCTACAATCCCCAGGGCCAAGGCATCGTGGAACGTGCTCATCGCACATTAAAGGAATGTCTACAAAAACAAAAAGGGGGAATAGGCCACGGCCGTACCCCGAAAGAGAGACTTTCCTTGGCTCTATTTACCATCAATTTTTTAACTTTGGATGCTCAGAGTCACTCTGCAGCGGATAGACATCAGGAGCCTCATGACCCCACTAGGGGAATGGTAAAATGGAAGGATGTTTTGACAGGGCTCTGGCATGGGCCTGATCCCGTGCTGACATGGGCACGAGGCTCTGTTTGTGTTTTCCCTCAGGATCGACAGGATCCGGTGTGGGTGCCAGAATGCCTTACAAGAAGAGTCCAGTATGAGGAAGAAAATGATGGCCATGGCGGCGAGTCTTCGGCTCCTCATAATGGCGGTGCAACCAGGGATGATGGAACAAAGATGGGGACTCTTGTCCATGTTCCCGAGGCCGATGCCAGTTCGTCATAATGCTAAGTTGTTTCCTCGGCTATTTAGTAGTAATAAAAGTATAGATGTAGCTTATTTCCCTTTAGATTCTGAAATTGCCCCCATAGAGGAGAATAGATCGTTCCACCTAGAAGGAACACTTTGCTTTCACATAATTGAAAATATTTCCCAACAGGCCCAGTGCATCCCGCTTTATAATCAAACTGCAGGATGGTTCGATTTGCCTGAAAGTACCTCTGGGCCTTGCATTACCGCAAATGCCACATGGGTGTCAGGATGGTGGCCTGCAAAAATGAAGAATGATATGCCCCCCAGACAACCAAAATGGGCCCCTTATTGCTGGGGTATGAATTGGGGAGAGATGTGGCCTTGGACAGGGTGTCAATCTCATACCATAGTCTGGGCTGATGCCGGAAAGCATTTCACCTTCTCCCCTGGGATCAGTACTGCCTTTAATAGCTCCTTTGCCGGGTCCAATTTTAGTGATCAAAACCCCTTTCAATCCTATGTCTCTAATCCATTTGATAATTGGCTTTTATGTGGCGTTAATGGGAGCTGCATGAATTTGGAGCCCATGGCTATGCTTGGAGGTGGTATGCATGGAGTTAGTCAATTTAAATGGAGTCAGTCCAAGCGCTGGGGCAGTTGGGGCACAAAAGTGTCTCCTAAGACAGTCACATCGAGTCCCGGGGTGACCGGCATTAAAGCAACTAATCCAGGCTGCTCTGAGGAAGGAGCTGAGCCTTTATACAATATTTCACATCAGCCTACTCCAGTGTGTGTATATTCCCCTTTTATGTTCATAGTGAGTAGAGATGCCTCATCATTGCAATAATGCTACCTGCTTTTATGCTCAATGTTAGAATAGTACATCATATAAATTTGCCATGATTGTTCGGCTGCCTCGCTGGGTGCCTGTACCTGTTGATGCCCTGCATGCTATGACCTTGTTCAGGAATAAGAGAGACTTTGGTATTACTGCCGCTATCATTACCGCTATTTCCCTCGTGGCTGAAGGGGCAGCCACAGCCACCATAGCTATGAGTCATACAGTGCAAACAGCACAAACTTTGAATAATCTTTCTGCCAATGTGGCCCAAGCCCTGGATCTCCAAAAGGGTATAAATGCTCAGCTAAAAGGAGGCCTGATGATCATAAATCAACGCATCGATCTGGTCTAAGAAGAGATGGACGTGCTTTGGCAGCTCGCCCAATTGGGGTGTCAATGGAAATATGCTGGCCTGTGTGTTACTAGCATACAATATCACAATTTCACATATGCAGCAAATTCATCTAAAGAATTGTCTAGCTATCTTTTAGGCAACTGGTCTGGAGAATTTGACAATATGATGGAGCAATTGAGAATGGCCATTGTCACCGTGAATTCTACCCGAGTGGACGCTGGACTGGCAGAGGGGCTGTCCTCATGGATCTCGATGGCCATGAATCATATTAAGGAATGGGTAGGCATAGGGGCTTTAGATGGCCTTATGGTGCTGGTTTCTCTGGTTTGCGTATGGTGTATTTGCCAGCTTAGGATTTCTCAGCGTCGCAATGCAGCCATGATCATTCAGGCCTTTACAGCTGTCGAGGCGGGCCAGTCACTTCAAGCATGGTTGGCCACCATGAAGCATTAAGTTCTCTAGCACGGGATGCAAGGCTTAAGCACTGCACTTGGGGCCCATTGCATATCAGACCCCAAGGAGAGCATGCCTGATTGCATGTGGGTCGATACCTCATGTCCCACCTCTGAGAAAAGGGTATCGGACGGGTCTGGCACTCCTCGGGTGGCTGATGCCTAAGTGAGGGTCAGTACAATGTCCCTGATTCAATCTTACAGAGATCAGGCCTCTACTCTTGCCTGTTGCAATAAATAAAAAGGGGGGAAATGCTGTGGATATCGCTCTACATAAATAAAGCACTGATTGGCCAGTGACCAGGCAGGAAGTATAGGCGGGACAAGGAGAGAGGAGAATTGAGGAAAGAGGAAGGAAAGAGAGACCGGCTGGAGCCACTGCCAAGACAAGGAAGATGTAAAGTACCGGTAAGCCACGAGCCACGTGGCAAAGTAAAGATTAATAGAAATGGGCTGAATATAGGAGTGAGAGCTAGACAATGATAGGCCTGAGCTAATGGCCAAGCAGTTTAAATAATGTAAGAGTCTGTGTGTTTGTTTTATAAGTGGGCTCCGGGACTGGCGGGACTTGGTGGGGGGAGCTGGAGAAAAATTCTCCAGCTACAGGGAAACTGTAGAGAGCTGCGTGCAGCCGCGCCTCAAAGATGGCACTGGCTTCCGCCTTCCACCCTCCCGACGGTGAGTGCTCTCTGTGATAAACAACTCCTTATTTGGCTAAGGCTAGGATCTGGCTTGCTTCCGTGTACCTGGACCTATCCGCAGTACCCACGTGGCAGACTGGGGTAGGCTACCCAGAGGCTATTTAGGTTGTGGGTTGGCTCTCCCCGGGGTCAGAAGATTGTCTCAAGGTTCCTGAATAAACTGCTTGGAGAAGAGCCTGGTGTTGCATCTTCCTTGCTGGTCGAGGCGGACGCGACAGATGAGTCCCTCCCACTAGAGCTCGGTTTTCTCTTGCCCTCTCACTTCTACAGAAGCCCTGGTACAAGGCATTTGAGTCTCTCCATTGGCTTAGCCAGGCTAAGCTAGACCCCCACTGAGTTGGGTGACAACACTCTGAATGGCTTGGTCCCTATTCGGTCCTCCCTGACTCCAGGGGATGCCTGCAACTACAGGCTACAGTGACTATTTCCTTCACCTCTCATCCATAGGAACTCTGCACTCCATACCCTCCCATGTGCATACCATACCATCCCTACCATGGGATGCCTATGAGAAAATCTCAAGCCTGGCACCTGAATTAAAAGGTCCTAACCTTGTTCACCTGTTCAATAAAATTTGGGCCCAGTATACTTTAGATAATCAATCTAAATGGCCTCATAACAGCACACTAGATCTCAATAATATTTAGGACCTTTACAACTACTGTGAACGATCGGAGACATGGAAAGAGACCCTCTATGTTAAAGCCATCTCTTATCTTCTCTCCAAGCCTTCTCTCCGTGCCTCCTATTCCCCCACCCAGCTCTTGCTAGCTATGAAGTCAGAACAAGATGAAACAGTTTCTTTTGATCCAGCTAATGAGCCCCACCTTATAAATCAAAGCCAAAGTCCACAGCTTCCCCTCCTCCAGTCCCTTCAGTTTCCCTTTCTCCCTCCTCAGGAACAGGTCATCCACCAGGTCAACTCTCCCTGGCACCCACTTTCAACTCACTGACAGCCCCTAGTCCTCCTGCTACTCGTTCCTGCTCAACATTGGGACCTCCTATACCTCCCCAATCTAAACCAGCCCCAGCTCTCTCTCCGCGAGAGGTTGCCGGGGTGGATGGTTTAGTCAGGGTAAATGTCCTTCTTGTTATCTGAGCTCTCCCAAATAGAAAAGAGGTTAGGGTCTTATACTGCCAATTGTTCTACTTTTATTGAAGAATTCCAGTACATTACCTAATCCTATGACCTTACCTTTCTTGGTGTTTATATAATCCTTACCAACAATCTCCTCCTAGAAGAGCATAGGCAAGTCTGAGATCAGGCTAGGGTCCATGCAGATGAACTCCATCAAACGGATAACACCTACCCAGTGAGGGCTAGGGTAGTCTCAGATCAGGAGACTGAATGGGATTACAATAACCCAGGAGACATCCTAGCTAGGAATACATTTATAACCTGCCTCCGAACTGGTCTCTACAAGGCTGCCCTTAAGGCAGTAAATTATGAAAAAGTTCAAGAGATCAACCAGGAAAAAAAATGAAAATCCATCTCAATTCTTTGACTGCTTTACAAAGGCCCTCTTACAATAGAATTCACCAACTTGGATCCTGAGACCCCTGATGGAAAGCAACTCCTTATGACCTATTTCTTCTCCCAGAGTTTCCCAGATATTAAGGATAAACTTATCTGGAGAAAGGACCTCTGACTCCACAAGCAGACACCTTAGCAGTGGCCTTTAAGATATATCATGAAAGGAATGAAAAGGCCTGTAAACACTAATACCTGATGATGAATAAAGCCACTCAGTGGACAAAAACAGAAACTCAAACTTCCTGGCCTC